ATGATGGGGAATTCATCACTCCCTGGGGAGATTATTCCACTGACTGATTGTTCTCAGCGTGAAAAATTTTCCTCTTGTGTCCAATCAGAATCTCCCCTGGAGTAACTTATACCCATGACGCCTCATCTTTTCCATGTGACTCCTTATAAAAAAGGAGCCTCCATCTTCTTTGTTGCCACCCTTGAAACACTGGAACACGGTGATAAGGTCTCCCCTAAGCCTTCTTTTTTCAAGGCTGAAAAAACTCGATCCTCTCAGCCTTTCCTTATATGGCAGGCTTCCCAGATTTGGTGCTCTGTGCCTTGGACAGTGAGATTGCAGTCTATGTTTTTTTTTTAATCATCCTTCATTAAATAACTGAATAGTTTTTTTTTTTTTTGTCTCCTACAGTATAAAGTGACCTATCCTTTCCTTATATGGCAGGCTTCCCAGATTTGGTGCTCTGTGCCTTGGACAGTGAGATTGCAGTCTATGTTTTTTTTTTTTAATCATCCTTCATTAAATAACTGAATAGGTTTTTTTGTCTCCTACAGTATAAAGTGACCTATCCCACTTCTTTCTTCCTTTCCTAAGAGTTTAGACAGGTTCTGAATGAGATGAGGTTATTGAAGTAATGTTATTTATTGACTAACAAAGTTCTAAAGTCCACGATGAAGTGGTGAACAAAGCAGAGCTGTACTTTGACATTTATTGGATTAGGCCCTGAAGACTTGCTACCTTGTAGCGTGTCCATTAGTTAGTGTTTGTGTATGTCACTATTCTCTGTTTGACAAAAAGAGAATGGATTGAGTGGTTCCCAAGACCCCTTCCTGCCAAAGGAGAAGGAGGTTCGTTAATTTAAGAAATTGGTTTGGATGTTTGGCAAAAAATAAATAAAAAAAAATAATATAGCCCTCTGATTGTGTTGCCAAGTGTAAGTTTGTTTCTCTCATTTGCAGCATAGATGTGTAGCAGTCACTTTCACCAGTTCAGTTTCCATCTTACAGTAGGGTGGTGCGAAAAGAGACCAACTTGAAAAGAGACCAGGCTTTTGGTTCTGTTCAGGTTCCTTACTGTGGTGAATTAAAATGTTGCCAGCTGTGCAAATCCTGATGAAAACCTTTGCCCAGCCTTATGCCTGGGATAGTGACTTACTAAGCTTTCAAAAATGTCTGAAAGATGATCTTCATAGACATTGGCATTAGAGTGCACACAAAACAATATTTTAACCAACTTATTTCTAGATGTATATTAGAAATGAAATCTGAATTGTGAACCAATAAAATTCAGTGCTCCCCATCTCACCTGTTTCATATAAAAGGCACTTTAATATAGATGAGTTATTCATCTTAACAGAAGGTAGCATGTGACCCTGAGGACAATGGAAATACATTAGATTTGAGATGTTCAAAAGAGCATGTTGGGCTTCTGGAGAGTGACCAAGACTGCTAACATAATTGAGAGTATTAACATAATTAATATTATAGATCTCTTGATTACAAATAGCATTGGAGCCCGTAATCTGTGTCTCCTCTTTAGTATGACTCACAAATTCCCATGTGCAGTAAAATCTTAGTTTTCCAGCAGTAGTCACTTCCTGTCTGTCTCCTTACAAGGAGATCTTCCTCTCCCCATTCCTTCTCAGAGGCTATTTGGTTTTCGTGGTCTATAGCATGAAACTTGTATTTTCAAAGTACTTTTGAGCCAAGCTATCGGATGAGATTTAGAGCTTTGCTTAATTGGTTCCTTTTGCTCTTCTAATAAAAATTTCCAGTTTTCCCTTGCTAAGAAATTTCCAGTTTTCCCTTGCTAAGAAATGCAAATGTTCTTGAGAAGCAAGAGGCTGCTGTGTACTGTTTCTATTGTCATTTCAGATAGGTCTGAGAACATGCAGGCAACAAGTAATGATTATGAAATTGAGAGGGTTTTTGGCAACTTGGGATAAATAGAGAAGGGGATTACAAACAAGTCTATCCCCTATATATAGAAATTGTTGCAAATTTCAAGTTTTGTTTTGTAAAAAGTAAATGCTAAAGTCATATGACACAGTCAATATAAGCCCGAAATAAATTATTTGGATTTAATAATAACTCTCTCCCTTACTTGCATAAGGAATTTTCAGTTACATCATTCAGCAAAAATGCAGGGCTCTCCTGCATGTGCAGCTCTAGTTCAGGCTGTAAGGGGTGGGTGAGGAAAAGCTGACAAATATTAAGTGTTCCTTTTAAGTGGAATGACTGTGTTCTGGGTGTAAGGTGAGTGCATCAGGCTGCCAGAAAGATATTCTGATGTCCTCCTTATTGCCTTTTCTGTGCTCCCCCATATATTTTTGACTGAATTGTTTGCCAGAGAACTCTTTATCACATGCCAGTTTGTTCTGTGCGTGCTCTGTCCCTTGGGAAAAAGAATGCTGTATCACACCCTAAGGTGTGGGCTTACCCCCATATTCCATAGTACTGAAACAGACTTCTTTCATTTTGCAGTTGCTTTGGATGTGAAGTAACATGCCTGGGCGTGCAAGTTATCTCAAACGGAATTGCCTGTGAATGGAGTTGCATTCTTTAAAATGAACAACACATGTCATAGTGAACCGCAGTAGAGTTTAAAAGCAAATCCCAAGTCTCAGATTTGAATGCTTTAAAGAATTTTTTTTCTTCCCATTTGATCTTTTATCCTATTGATCTGCTTCCTGATCAAACTAGTCAGGTTCAAGTGATGATTTAGATTTTTTTATTATTTTTTTTTAATGTTTGATCCACAGTATCAGTGTATCTGTTTTGGAAGGATATCAGAGCTTGTCTGATTTCTGGTGGGTGCCACGAGATAATTCCCTGAATGCACAAGCAGGTCTTTTGGGGTTAAAGCTTAAATTACTACAGCAATATAAAAATGGCTAGAAGATTCTTAATGGCGTACACAGCTTTTCTGTCTGTAAATGATATCTATCCTGTCTATAGGGTTCTAAGTCCTGTTTCTACACACAATAATACTTAGGTAGGGCTCTTAACCTGAGCAGTCAGTTTAAATTTTGTTCGTGTGGGCTGAACAGGTACAGTTGCTCTCTTTTGGCTATTTTGTGACTCTCATCAATGAGCTGTGCTGCTTTCAGAGGTCAGAGTGTTTCCTAGTATAACAGAGGTGAAACATTTTCAGAGAATGTAACTGATACTTTTCATTGTACAATCTTCACAAGAAAATTTCCAGGCAAGCCAACTGAGCTTCCTTCATTGACTTTTAATAGGAAGTCCCCCGAATCTTGTTCTGAGATACAGCCTCATATAATGTTAAGGTATTGCAGGTCATCTGCTTAAACTGAAATGATGCCAGTATGTACTAGCATGAACATCTGTGCCCATCAAGTCTTCCTTACTCTTATGAATGTATTCTTTGGTGTGCAATGAGTCACAGTGATTGAACTTCCTGCAAAGGAAATGACCTCTCAAAAAACCCCTAAAGCAAAGAGGTGAGAGAGTCTGGCAAAGTAACTACCAACCAGTTCAACTTTCTGAAAAGGAAGTGAATAGATCTTGTCTCAATGTTAAAATAGTTTCATCTGTTCAGTGAGCTGTGGCTTCCTGGATTAATCTGAGGGTGAAACGCTTAATGTGCATGTACCAGAAATGGCACTTGGTGGCTAGTGGCTATAAAATTGTGCTTAGAAGGAGAAGTTGCTGAGATGAGCAACGCAGACAGATAAGTCACCTGCTGTGAGGCAGTGCCTGTCATCTGTAGAAGTACTCGCTCAGAGTATGCAACCGAGTAGCTCCAGAAATGCTGTTGAGTGCAGTTCTGACTTTTTCAGTGGACGCAGTTGATTTAACTCCTGAGATGCCTTCTAATGCCTAGTTTTGTTTTTCCCCTAAAGTTCTAAAAAAACCTTCCTGAATCTTTTCTTCTTCTTATCAGGGTCAGGTGCAGTGAAAGCAAATATACTGAACAAATGTACATGTATCTATCCTCACTTCTTCTTTGTATTCAATCTACTTTTCTTGACATTATATATTTTGTCATGCTCAGGAAATTTTGAAGATGCTTACTGAGTGGGATGGGAAAGTTAGACAAGGAAGGTCTGTTACCTAGCTGTGGTTTTTCTTTTGGAAGGTATAGGCAGAGGCTACAGGGGAGAGTGATCAAGGCAGGATCATGTCTTAAAACTTTTCGTCAGCTATGCTCTGTCTCAGCATATTTTATGTCTTCAGCAAAAGTTTACCTAAATGCAAAGTATAAACAATATCTAGGAATAGCAGCCACAACAATGTAATACAAATGTTGCTTACTTCATCTGCAAACAACGGCTTTACTGTTACAGCATTTGCGTGCTTTAATGACATCACTACAGGATAAGGTGATGCTGTTAAAGGTGTCTGACAGGTTGTTGTTAGCTTTGGGATCCCTGATAATCCTACAAAAGCCATAAACAAAAATATTTCTCTTGTATTTTAAACCATGTAAGCACCTCGTGGGTTATAGGGTTATTAATTCTCTTGCGGAGTATCATACAATTTCTACTAAATAATAAATTAATTTCAGTTCCTAGAATAATTCAAGACTGAGGGGGCCTCAGAAGGTAGGTTGTTTGATACCACCACCTGCTCAAAGCAGGATCAACATTGAACGCAGGCCAGGCTTTCCCTTCGGGTGAGGAGTCTGGTTCTTGGTAAATTGGTTGCAGAGTTGAATACTGAGTTTCAGCAACTATATTTGCAGGTGTCTTCTAATCACTGACATATAGAAACGTTTGAGTAGCGTGTGTAATGACTGTTTTCTGGCTAAATTTTTTCTTTGGTTTAACCTTGCTACAATGAATTTCACCCACTGATAATACCCAAAATACTTTCAGAGCAACAGGATACCCTTTGAGATATTTCCTGTTTAAATGTAGAAACAAGTGATTTCAATGATACTGAATTTCCACAGGATTAAAATTGCAAACCACTGCTGTTCCATATATGAAGTTGCTATGCATTTGGCTTCATGTATGGGTATTACTCATTGACTGACATGCTCCCTCTCAACAGAGGAGATTTTGACAAGACAGAGAATGGAGAAGGTGGGGCTTGGTGAAAGGATGGTCGAAGAGAGGAAATGACTTCCCCAAGAAGCTGATGAGGGACCAAAGACAAGAAGAGAGGTACAACTTCAAACTTGCAGATGCTGTAACAGGGACATCTCTTAGTCATTTTTTGCTACAAATGTCTCAACCCTCCCTCTATTTCTACTCCCTGTAAATTAATAGTGATGCCTCATTGCACTCTCTCTCTTAAAATAATGTCAAACTGGATCTGGGCTTTCACAACAAAACATGTTAGGGCAATGTTTCAGAGCTCAACTTGTAATTACAAACTGAAGGAGACTCCCATAGATTCAGTTACCAGCACACGGTAGGATCCCAGGTTTCTGTCCTATGTGGTTGCTGTTTTGGAGTGAGCCTTTGACCTTCTTTCTCTGAGGAAGGTATTAATCTGAAAGTTTTGGAAAGGTGAGTCTCCTGTAGCCAGTGGGCAGGAGATAGGTAAGAAAAGGGAAGGAGAATGCCAGACAATGATGAAGAGATAAGTACGGAGACAGCTGATGGCATGTAATAGGAGAAAATAAAGGGTAAGAGGTCAGTCCCTTGTATGTCATCTAGCTATGTTCCATGCAGTAAATATTGTATAATAAACAGTTAAAGCAACTTCCATTATCTAAAAAATAATTCTCTTCTGCAGGTTTGCAACATGCAAGAAGCCCTGGGAAGACATACTGAATATTTGTAACTGTTTTGTTCCTGGGAAGGGCCATCACATCCGTTCTAACAAGACTGAGCTCAGTGCTAGTTCTTCCGCTGTACTGATACTACACATTTTATTCTTCAATGCATGGAATATGTGTCAGCAGGATTAAACCAGGACAGTCTTTTGAATGTGGAATTCCAGAGAAGGCACTGGCTGTGACTTCTGAAGTAAGCCAACAACATCCTGAAATTTTTAATTTTTCTCAGATACTTTTATTACTCAACTGAAACTTTCTGCAGACATCTGCTCTAAAATACTTTGACTTCGAGCAAGTACTGTTGCCAGGCTGATCTAAAAGCTTGAGATGGCTCTGACTTCTCCAAAATCTGCAGCAGGGGATTTGGCACAAAGAGAAGAACTCATGCTCCATGATGGAAACAATTTCCATTTCCTCTCTGCAAACGTCATCACAATAGGTAAGTGAAAGAGTTCTGAAAGAACGCAAAACTGCTTGTTTTAAATTTGGCTGTTGCATTTTTAGCTGCCTCGCTGTGCTGGTTAATGGAGATGTTTTTCTGAGAGAGGAATTAATTAGCTACAGTATCTTCAGTGGATAGTACTGGAACTCCCAATGGCAATTAATGTAGATTGGAAACAATACAGGTAAAAATGAAGCTGACAAGACACGTAAACGCAGATGAGACGGAAAAGAAATAGAAGTCTTAAAGTCTTTGAAGCTGACAAGACACGTAAACGCAGATGATATGGAAAAGAAATAGAAGTCTTAAAGGCAGTTTAAGAGATAAGCACTGGAATTTAAACAGAATGTGTATCACTTTTCTTTGCAAGATGGGTAGACAGAAGATGGCCAACAAGAACAGGCGTTAGAATCTAGGTAGAAATGAGATCTATGGTTTATTAAGTGGTATCAGTCACGTTCTAAGTATGCCTCATTTGTAGTGTTTAATCCAGGAACTAGTAGAGATAAGGACTATATCTGGCAGGAGGAAAGAGACACATACTTTTTTATCTGGCACTGCAGGATTTATGTCCATAGTTCTCTGAAGCATTTCATGCTGGTCATTGATCTTAAAATAGGAGTCTTTGGATTTCAAATCCACTGTTCTTCAGAACATGATTTTGAGAGAGGGGGATTGTAGGAGAGGACAATTTATAAGCGTTTCAAAATGGGGTCTATGCAGCTTTGATAGAAAAAATGTTTGTGTCTGCTGAATTCCTCTATAGAAGGTAGTGAGGTATGCTGAATCTTTTTGTGAGACAGAAAATAATTTTTCTTATCAATGCAATTCATACTAATACAAAGAAACAGTGGTAGCCCTGTAATATAGCATTATCCTTTTTGTGCATGATTCTAGTGGAGTTACCTATCAACTATTTTTTGGCTTTTTACCAGGCTCCTTTATTCAGCAGCACCAAGTGTTCCTAAATATTTTAGTCTTTAATGTTTACCAGATATATTCCAGAGCGAATGCTAAATGCTGGGGAAAGCAGGAGGAATCATAGCAGTAGAGCACAGCTAGGAAGGCTATAAGAACAGCAAGAAAACCCCAAGCTCTTTCTCAAAGCCAAACTTTTTGGGCCACATTTAAAAAATGTAGATTAGTATCATCGGATGAGACTGTCAAAACTGATTGCAACTTTTTTCCTTGATTCTTTCAAGCACTTCTGGAAAAACCTTCTTGAAGTTGATGGGAGCAGGATTTATACTGCCTCAGGTTGTGGCTCCCTGCCATGAAGTTGTCTGAATTGAGCTGAGAGATACAGAGCTCAAAGAATAACTATTGTTATCTGTTGCTCTTTTTTGAGTGTTGACAGCTTACGCAGAGGAAAATGAGCTCTTCTCTTAGGAAGCTTGGAGATTACAGATGTGATTTTGCCCATCAAGTGTTGACTGGAGATTGGGTAGGAGGAAGGGAATTGTGTAACTGATGTCTGTGACAGATGAATTTGTGCTATAGGAGAGATCTGAAGGAGGAGGAGCTTGTTTGTTGCATTTAAAGTAAATTTAAAAAAAAGTTGATTTAGCCCAAGATTTTAACTGGAACTTCATGTATTCAACACAGGACTCACTTGCTTCAAATACATTCTCTCTTAACTGCCTAGAGTCATGAAGTAGACAACGCTAAAACTTGGCTGGGCTCTTACAGCAACTAATTTCATCAAATTTCCAGCAATTGTGAGATGAATTTAGCTTTCTGCTGGCTTACAATCTGGGCTGATAAGTGTATTTCTTACTAGCATTAATGAGATCGAATAGATTTGTATTGGAGTTGTATTAAAAAGAGGTTGTCAGTGAAAATATAATCCATAATTAATTGTCATGGCTATATTATATAAACTGACTTTCAGGAAACTGCATTTTATTTGTGGCATGAATTATAATTTCTTGCCTCAGCAACAAGAATTGTCCATTACATACTTCTGTACCTAAAGCTCTCTCAGTGTGTAGGACGAAGTGTAAGGAAATGGCAGGAATAGCTGGAGGGAGAGAAAGTCTTCATTGTGCCTGTGCAGCACTTCCAGCATTCCAATGCAAGTGGGTCTCAACCTAAACAAAAGCTGGTCTGCAGCTCAGGAATCCCTTTGCGGGGGTTGTTAGGAGCCCACTTGAGTTTGTTCTTACCTCCCTAATTAACTCTTTGTATGACTCGGGTTAAATGCTGTGTACTGCAGTGACAGCTTTTATCTTACTTGGCCTTTGTATTGTAATAAATGCTCAGCAATCTACATAGAAGGGATAATAATACTCTGAGCTGTTGTCTTGACTAGCCTGTGCTTTCAAATATGACACTTCAGCTTTCTCATTTGGGTATACACCTGCAAGAAAATTTAGGAAAGGATGGAGCTAGAGAGTTAAATCACTAGTTGGAATGAACCCATGCAGTTAAATTAAGGCTCCTCAACTGATCATTTGGTCCCATAATATCACAGCTACCTACAATCTACTTCTGTACCATTTCTGTACTGATTAATCTTAGGTGTCTTGAAACTCAGCATTCTTCTGCAGTTTTCTGATTTGTTTCATCAGTTAAGACATATAGTTTTCAAAACTTGTTTCTTTTTTTGGAATAAAACCTCTGCTATTCTGTGTAGGCTATATATGGATGAGGAATAAGATTGCTATGTAAAAAGGAAATCTGAGTGGAATGCAATTTTTACATAATTTTTCTGTATAATGTGGTTTGACATTATTACGGCAGCATTGGGAAAGTCCAAAATCAAAGAGGTATATAGCAAATTCAGTAATCCTCTATTTTTCAAATACGTTCTGGCATGTCTAGACTCACTTTTTCCTTGTAATCTGATGAAAGTGTGTTGTGCACAGACATGCAAAATCCTGTTTGCTTAGATACATAGTACATCAGATTAGCCTGGAGAAGCACTTAAGATGGCCTTCAGCATGTGGCTCTAATGTGCTGCCTGTCTGCATGAGCAGGGCTTCTGTCGTGGCAGGGGGTTAGAACAGATGATCTTTAAAGATCCCTTCCAACCCAAACCATTCCATGATACAAGTTTAGCTGAAGAACAGGCACACAAGTGGTGATACGTGAATTGGCATTGGCTGTCTGACAGTAACTTGAATTAAAGCTAGATTGCTGTGAAAATGTCCATCAGTTAAAAATAAAATATGAATTGATAGTATGGTTCTATTCCTTCTGCATGGATTAGCGAGTGACTGAAGAATGGATACTGGTTTGGGTTTGCTTTTTGTTGATGCAGTTTGAAGGAAATCTGAAAAAACACTATTAATCCTAAGTGTTTAAGTTTAAACATGTGATCCTCATTGATTCTGCCATTGATGTAACATAGTGTGCATTGCAATGGAGAAAGTATCCTGAATTACTTGATGACAAAGACAACTTCTGCTCCTCAGGTCACTTTGCGTTACAGAAGGTAATATTTGACTAAAACTGAACACTAGAGGGCAGCGGTGTTCTTAATGTTATCCATACATTCCTTACATCATATACATGCATCTGGTGCAGGGCAGAGATTTACAAATCATACGTGACAGAAGGTCCCAGGAAGATGTTTGGCTCAGAAAGTAGTCCCTGCTTCCCCCCACCTGTCCACCAGAAAAAGGCTAGTTTTGAGAAGAAACTAGGAAAAAAGAAGGCTCAGTTTTGAGAGTCCAAGATTGAACCATTTGAGCCCAGGTTACAGGGCCTCAAAGTATTTGTTTACAGCTGCAAATGTAGGTTACCAGAAATTGGAACAATCACTTTTTGTGATGGCTCATTAGAGTTCCTCTTGCAAATTATTTCAGCAATCTTCACTTTAAAAAAAAAACCTAAGTATTTGCTTAAGTGTATCTCCCAAAAATTAAGATTTATGAAATAATTTGAAATTTGAGTAAGGTACAGATGACAACTTGGGTTATTTTTTTTCATTTGTTTTGAGATATTAAAAATTATGTAAAGCAGCTAATTTATATTTCAGATACTCTGAGCAAAAATTAGTGTTGCTGTATCTGAAAAATTTATAACACAAAAGGGAACAATAGGGCACACAACTTCTCTGATTTACTGCACAATGAAAATGTTTCTTGAGGCTACTAATGTTTGTGATCAGCCAATTAAAACTCATCTGACTAAGCATTTCAAGACTGCAATAGAATAAATCTGGAATATTTCAGTCCAGGTTAATGATCTTGAGCTGTGCTCCCACAATACAAAAGCAGCATAAATCTCTAAACCTGCTATCCTGTGTTTAGGCTGATGCAAGCGCTCCTCAACCTGGATTCTTTCTTTCTCAGCTGTTATCTTCCTTTACCTATTTTCAGAGTGGCCTTACAATACTACTGTTCTGCGTTGCTCAATAGTAAATCTGGACTAAGCAGTGTCTGAGGATCTTGCATTTCAATTTGACTGTGCTGAAAACTGGTATCTTGTCTTTCAGCTGATGTGATTCATATATTCCTTTTTCCCATCTTTGAGGAATGTATATTTGTTTTCTTAAGGATATTACTTTGGATCAAATTAACTTTTTAAGCCTTGCCATTTAGCCCAAATGGATTTAACAGGCAATAAAAAATTGTGAAGCCTTCTTTTTATTTTTTTCTTGGTTTTGTTTGGTTGGGTTTTTGTTTGCCTGTTTTTTAGTAAAGTGTATTGTAACATATTTCTAGGAGGCTCTGCGCCAAGATGCCTGAAGGAATTTAGTCTCCTAATGCCTATTTAGGCACATTCCCACTGAAATGTGTTGGAAGTTAGGAGCCTAAATACTATTGAATTTGACACCCACAGTGGAGCAGAGAGGTCTGCAGTTTGTTGTCTCCAATTCACACATCCTTTGACCTTCCATAGTGATTTTGTTTTAGAATCACGAAATATTAATAACTACCTGTCTTTGGCTTAGTGGAGTTTGGGAGGATAAACGCGTGGAAGGTTGGGAAGCTGTCAGAAATAGCAATGGGAACCATAAGGGTACTTAAGACAAAGGTCTGATTTGTTGG